TGTGTGTGTGTGTGTGTGTGTGTGTGTGTGTGTGTGTGTGTGTGTGTGTGTGTGTGTGTGTGTGTGTGTGTGTGTGTGTGTGTGTGTGTGTGTGTGTGTGTGTGTGTGTGTGTGTGTGTGTCAAAATTCAGGCATCACATCGGCCATGCGGCAGCTTGCGGCACCAGCGCCCCTCCTAGTAATGTGTGCTCCTTCGTTGTCGCAAAAGTTCCCGCCTGTTCCCCTGCCCGGTGCTCAACCGGCCGTGCCTACGTGGAAGGGCAGTAGGTTCGTCACCGCGTCCTTGAGGGTCGTGAAGGGCTGCGTCGGGTTGACTCTGACGACAGCCTTGAGGTCCCCAACCAGTGCCTGGCCCTGGGCCGCCTGGACCAGTTTCTCAGCGTCCGTCAGGGCCCTGTAGCCCGGCCGCGGGCCGTCGGCTGCCATCTGAGGAGGGCCGTCGGCCAGCGCCCCGCTGGGCACAGGGACAGGGCGGGATGGGGCCTGGCGGCGTAACGAAAACGGAAACGCGGCGCTGCGCGCCCTTTCTCAGTTCGTCCGGCCGCCTGATGCTGAGTAGGCTGCTCGAGGGGTGGTGCAGGCGATCAATGTCCGCGTTCCTGTATCTGTAGACTCTTCAGAAACAGGCGGTTTGATGAGTGTGATGAATTTACAGATCGCAATGCAAAATGGGATCGAATCTTGTCAGATGAGGAACAAATATTATGTTGTTGTTGATTGATTCAGGACCCGACAAGCAGTGTTTGCGCATGCGTGCATCGTACAGAGTTCTGTGTCAAGGCACGAGATCTCTTCTCTATCTGCTGAAAACGGCATATACGGGATATTCAGGACAAGTAGCCCATGCAGCGGGGCTGGGAGGGCTGGGCATCGCGCCTTGGCGTGCGGCCGTCCGCAGCCGCGGCAGCATCGGGGCAGGGCGAGCACGCCTCGACCGGCGCGGCTTCCCCGCCGGTCGAGTTTGTGTATGGGCGCGTCTCCGCCGACTCTGACGACGAGGCGGTTGACATCTATGGTGCGATTTGCGGCATGCAGGGTCGGCTCGCTCTTTGACATTGGGGCGGGCTCAGGCTGGAATGCGCTCCAATGGGGAGCTGCTGCAAGGTGGCATGGGCCGGCGTGTACAGCTCGCTGAGGGCGTGACATGCTGGCGCCCCACTCATTTCAAATTGCTGCGCTTGGATTGGCCGCAGGGGCCATCCCGGCCCGGCAGCGCAGGGCCAGCGCTGCTGCGGCCATGTCCTCTGGCGGCGCCAGCTGTACCGCCACCGCCACTGACCCGTTGTCGGGGGGCGTCCCGACCACTGCTACGGGCCCTGACCCGATCGTGGGGTTGGCACTGTCCGCCACTGACGGCCCCAGCGCCGCCGTCCTACAACCAACGAGGCCACAGCCCAGGGCATGCACTATTACGAGCAACCTCGACGCTGGCGGCAGCGACGTGGATGCAGCTCGTCATGCGGCGGGGCTAACAACCCCAGGGGCCCCCACCTGCGGCCCGCCTGCCCTTGCGGGTGACTTGGGGCGTGACCCTGATGAAGGAGAGGACGCATTCAGCAAGCTGGCGGCGGCGGGGGCGGCTCCAATCAGCCAGCTGACGGAGCAGCAGCGGCGTTTTGGTGAGGCGTTGGCGGCAGACGTTGCGGCTGACCTGGGCACGACTGCGCAGGGGGCGCGGGCTGCGCGGGGCAGCAGCGGCGGTGAGGCCGGCAGTGGCGAGGCGCCGCCGTGGTGGGAGCACGGTTTTGCGGGGGAGAGCGCTCGGGGCGCATGCAGTGGTGAGCAGGTGGAGGACGGCAGCAGCAGCAGAGCAGGCGCTGTAGAGGCGGCGTGCTCTCGCGCGGACGACGACGAAGAAGAGGAGGGTGGGAGCTACGCTTCTGAGCGGCGGGAGCTTCTGATATTTGCCCTGCCATTGACGCCGCAAAAGGTATGTTGGGCAAGCATGTGGGCACGTTGTAGTGTGTATGTCAAGGGGCCGGCTGCTGGAGGCTGTGATGACCGCAGCAACAGTGCCCTGCATGTACCAGACACATATCTACAAGGATCGTGATGACTCTTCCGACTGTGCAAATGCCAGCCTACGCAACAAGCCTTCTACCTTGATGCGTTGATGACGCCAAACCCCATTGCTGGTGACTACCACCCCCCAAACCCCCATAATCTATCGCAACATAGATCGTGTTTCTGCCTGTGGTGCCGTGGCGTGCAGAGCCTGAGCCCGAGCGGCGGCGGCGATCACGGTCTGGCGGTTTGGGTGGCTTTGTGCGCGACCGCGTGGCCCGGGCTGCTGACGAGGCTCACGACCTGTGGGCCAGCATGAAAGAGGCGCAGGAGGGGACCATCAAGCACAGGCTCTTCCGCTTGGTGGGTGGTGGTGGTGGGCGTGACCGTGCTGTGAGGATGGGCGAATTGCAAGTAGGGGCGGTTTGAGTAAGGTACCAGCGGAGAAGCGCTCGCACCCACCCCCAAACTCTCCACTCCCGGCCCAGTCATGTTGCTCCTCCTTGGGTCGCCCTCCTGCGCCCCCCCTGCCAGGGTCAGCGCATGCTGGACAGCATCTCTGCAGAGGAGCGCCTCATGAGGGGCCTGCCCCGCAAGATATCCCGCGTCCTGGTCTTCCAC